GGAATGGAAGGCATCAAAAGAATGAAATACTCCTTTCTTTCTCAATCGTCCCGCAAAGACAAATGCTCAGAAAGGTTCTCAATCGCTCTTTTTAGTGGGGAGAAATAATGCTGGACGGGGGTGAGACCAAGCCGAACCACTAGTAGAGTAAGCCCTTCTTACGTAATCCCGCTTAAAACGCAGGCATCACAAAAGTGAATGGTCTTCGCTAAAGCGAAGGTTTCTTCGCAAATGCGAAAGTCAACAGGGGTTGACCCTTCGCAAAAGCAAAACCAATCTCGGTAAAGCGAACTTCGCAAAAGTGAGACACCCCTCGCAAAATCGGAGAGCACTAGAACACAGACATCGAAAAATCAGCCAACACTCTAAACCTAGAAATGACCCTCATGATTCGTTCAGAATCTCGTACAAACAAACCATATCTGCATATCAATTATACTCGACGTTCTGGACTCAATGGAACTATCAAAACACGATTCCAAGGTCTCCTTAACCCAACATCCGTGAAATCACAGGAAACTAACTCAACCTAAAAAGGCTAAAACAAGCTTGGGACCTCTCAAAAATTAATCATGACCTCACCTAGGTCTAATAACATTCCCTGAATCCAAAAAAACTCTCAGAATTTCAATCCGAGCATCCGAAGCCCAAATGTTGACCAAAGTCAACCCAAATACTAAAGTTCCACAATTTCACAACTTAGGACCTCAAATCCTCAAAAAGACTACGAATCAGAAACCGAAAACTTTCATGAATCAGATTTCACATTTTAGAACTGATGGAATCAGCGGAATTCTATTTTGACACTCAAAATTCCAAAAGACACCGAAAATCACTTTCTTTACAACTTAGTCTTTCAAACTCAAAACTTACCAAATTCTCAACTTATAACTCTAAGTTTAAAACCAACTTTTCAAAACTCAATCATAGAAGACTCAGGGTCGATATCGAGACGGCAAAAATGGTAAATTCATGAAACTTTCTAAAAAGACCGACCGAGTCATTACAGATGGTTCAATCGACATTGTTGTATGTGACTGAGTATTGACCAGTCAAGAACTCTCATGTCCACAAGACGCATGTTGTGGGGATGTGGATGTTGAGGTGGATGTGTAGTCATACTAGGAGCGATAAAAATAGAAATGAGGATATCCAGGATAAGGCGGAGTAGCTCTGTGGTGGACAAGATGAGAAAAGTAAGATTGATATGGTGCGAGAGGTTAGTTATATAGGGTATGAGGAGAGGCAGAGGTAGGTTGAATAAGTATTGGAGAGAGGTGATAAGAGAGTATATGACGCAGTTTCAGGTTACCGAGGATATGACCTTAGATAAGAGGGTGTAGAGGACACGTATTAGAATAAAATGTTAGTAGCTACTGTAGTGGAGTTCTGCTTAGGGTTGTTGGTGTTTGTGATGGTACTAGTTGTATTATGGTAGTTCTTATTTAAAAAATAAATAAATTATTTCATTGTTTAATATTATTTTAATAATTCAACCTAGTTTGTTGTTTGTGGTTCTCAATTATCACATGATTTTATTATTGTTTTGACTCTTCTCTAGTAGACTTTTGCACCGTTTTTCTTGTATTTGCTATATTTTATTCATTATCTCCTTTATTTTATATCGGGGATTATTGCACTTGAACCAAGGATCTTTCGGAAACAACCTCTCTACCTCCACGAGGCAGTGTTAAGGTTTGCGTACATTCTACCCTCTCCAACCTCAATTGTGGAATTTCACTGGATATGTTGTTGTTGGAGTTTGTGCCTCACCACGGAGCCATGAAAGAGTTGAAATTTATTTATCCATAACTTATACCTATTTTAAAATCATTTTCACTTTAAAAGTTGTATTTAAGTACATTCAAGCATAAACATTATTTCAAATATTTTTTAATAAAAAATATAACCAATAACAACTCGATCTTTATAGATTTACAATTTCTTGAAATCTCTCTTCTGATGCAAAATCGTAATGTAATGTGTTTCAATTCCATAAATTTTAAAATAAAGTAAAAAAATATTTAAACTTCATGGTTAAACACCCACCAAACATTTTGAGCTTGAGATCAGAGTATAAAAACAAAAATCAGTACACATGTTTTATTCTCCTAAATTAATATTTTTAATATAAATTCAAATTAATCGAACTAATAATGACAAATGAAAAGAAGAAGAAGTGATTCCTTATTGTTTGTTCCTTGTTGGTTTCATAGCCCTAACTTAGCCCATACAAACAATAGTACTAATATTATATTTACCTATCCTTATAGGGATGTATTTCTTTTGCTAAGACAAACGTATCCAACGGATATGCTATTTTCCATATATCTTTAATTACTTAATATAATAAAAGTAATCTTTTATGAGCAAAAAGAAAAAAAAAATGCCTTTCAACTAACATACATTTATATCACCTTTTATTTGTGAATTTCTACTAAGAAGGTATGTCTATTTTAATACTCCATTTAGTATCTATCTCCCCTGATGCTAGATAGAAAACTTTGCACGTCTATTCTTTAATAGGGATGCATCTTACCCAATTTCCTCCTGTTAGGGATTCAAAAATCAGTCTCTCAAAAAGGCAATATATGTGTTGAAAAGTACTCAAGTAATACACTTTGTTTTAAATAATAATAATAATATAAAATTATAAGTTCAAACAAATTTAGACGAATAAGTGCAAAAAAAGAAGAAGAGAAATAACGGTTTTAATATCTGTATAATTGCATAATTTCAGTTTTAGTTCATGCGTTATTTGATTAAGCAAATTTAACCTTTAATTATTCAAAGTGTGCGATTTTGGTCCTTAAAATTAACAAAATTTAACTATTTAACAAAAATGATTATTTAAAATACATAAAATAAAATAAAGGGTTGGTGGTTCTAAATTCTTGAAGAATTATGTATATAAAATTAAAATTATATATTTTTAAAAAATATACAATTAGAATGATTATTTTTAATATATAAAATGATCTCATTTGCTTCTCTGTTTGCTTTGTGTTTTATTCATTAGCAAATAGCAACTCACTCTTCCTCTCTTTTTAAATGGTTACTAATCAAGGTCAAATACGCTCACATTTAAAAGAGTTTAATAGGTGGACAAGCTTCCTAAGGCTATCAATAGTGTCCTAACAACTTTCAATTTTTTTTTAAAATTTAATATTTAATTTTTATAAAATTCAAATTTTCTTATATACATAATTCTTCAAGCATTTAGAATCACCAACTCTTTAATTTATTTTATTTTATATAATATTAAAATAATCATTCTTTTAAATAGTTAACTTTTGTTAACTTCAATGACCAAAATTGCACGCTTCAAATAATTAAAGATTAAATGTACATAACCAGATAACACATGGACTAAAACTGAAATTATACAATAATACAGAAATTAAAATCACTATTTCCCCTAAAAAATAATTCTCAGATGTAAAACGGCATTTTTTTATGATAATAAAAATTGCACTTGAAATGTTATTATTATTAAGAATTTATTAATTTTTTTTTAAAGGTGAAAATTATGTATACCCTTAATTTTGCTCAAAAAATCATATTCCATCCCAATTATGAATAATATACACTATTCTCCTCTTATCCTATACATTATCGATTTTGCCTTTTGACATTTCCAACCATCCATCTATATTATATCTTATTATATCTCGGATTTTTTTTTTTTTATTAATCTAATTAACCTTATAAATAAAATAATTCTTTATGAATTTATCACAAATTTAGTGTTATTTTATTACCTGCATGTGTGCATATTTAAGTTTCATTTCCCTCTTAAATGAGTTTTGATTGTCATCAATGAAATATTTTAATTTTATTTTTTTTAAATTTGTTATACAAAACATACCTTTATTTTTATTAATTATTTTGTATTGCTTGTTATTCACTTGTTTGACTAGATATTAGAGTTTGATTATTACTAAATAAATATAATTTTCTTATTTTGCTTATTTATTTTATTTAAAACATCATTAATTAACCTATATATTTAATTAGTACTTTTCACTCTTTTTCTTTTCTTTTTTTTGTCTAAGAAATAATACTAATTTTTTCTATGAAAACTTTATTACATGAATTAAAAAAATAAAAATAAATCATGATTTTAAGAAGTATAGAAAAAGAAAGAAGAAAGGACGAAGATTAATTATATAAGGATAAATAGTCATTTTAAAAAGATAATTAGAATAAAGGAGAGACAATTTTTATTATTCAGAATTAAAGAAATATTTAACTTTTAAAATAAAATTAAACGGCATAAATAATTTTCACCACTTTTCTTAAAAAACATTTTGTTAACTATATTGAGAGCTTGGGATTTGGAGATTTTTTTGTAGTACCTACTAAAAACATAGTGCTCCTCTATTTTTTTTTCCTTGGTACTCTTTCCTTATCAAAAGTCAATTTGACCAAGTAGTAAAGATTGACTAAATTAATTTAATTAGCAGAAAATTCTATAATACAAGGTGCAACTTCATTATATTAAATTAATAGTATAAATTAAATAACAAGAATATATTTTAAATATTAGTTAAATAAAGCATGTATTAATCGTAATAAAAAGAAAATTTTCAAAAAATTCTCAATGAATTCATATGTCATTCAACCATATAATAGAAATGTATTTGGCCAACAACAAAGCCAATTCTTCTTCTTCTTTTTTTTAAAAAAAAAACACATAATTTTTAAAATTTTAATTAATTAAACATTTTGAAGTATTATTTTCAAGAGGTCCCCGGAAATATCCAATACAAAAATATTGCATTTCCTTTTTCACTTAAAGAAGAATGATTCTTTTTAGGATCTTTTTTTTTTCAATTAAAAAATAAGAGGCTGTGGATTAATCAAGGGTATTTTTGTCATGAAAAATATGAATATACTAAGACTTTTCCATGAACCAGAGGGGCAAAATGGTCATTGAATAATAGATATATATTATAAGTAATTATAGAAGAAGTTTCAACTAATTTTCTAATATCTCTCTCTATATTAACTCTTTGTTTGTATCTCTTTCAACCCCACTACCCCTCAAAGGTAGTAGAGTAGGGGGTTTACCAGCATCACCAACAAGGTAGCCAGCCAGCCAACCAGTGTTAGAAAAGAAAGACATAATGAGAGTAGAAATAAAAACAAAAGGTGGTAGATGCATGAGTAACAACAACAACTACTTCTACAAACACAATCTCCACCTCTTTCTCTCTCTTTTTCTACCACACCCTCTTTACAATCTCCTTTCTCAACCCTTTTCAACTTGAAAAAAATCCCTTCTTTTTTTCACCTAAATCCCCATTTCAAGATTCTTGATTTTCAACCACTTTTCCTCTTCTTCTTGTAGTTTTAAGGTACTATTTTCTTGGTTTTTGGTTTTGTTTCTTTTTAGTTACTTTTGAGTTTTGACTTATGGTTTAACATGTGGGATAATTTGTTTGTTACTATTACTGACCTTGGTCATTGTGCTTTGGATGATGACAAATGGTACTTTTTTTTTACATGTGGGTGGTTTTTCCCCCCTTGTTCTCTGATTGTTTTGATGTCTCTACTCTCTAGTCTTGGAAAGTTTGCATCTTTGTTCTTCTTTTCTCTTCTCCACAAAAGGTGGTAGGTTGGTGAGGGTTGACTTGGTCTACATAACCTTATCTTCCAACAGGGTCTAACTTTTGCTTTATTTTATGCAAAAATTATCTTTACTGTCTGCTGCCAACTTGGGTTTCATGTTTTTTAGTCCTTGGTATTGTCACTTGAATGTTTAAGATTCTTTGTATGGAATGTGAAATCTCCCAACCCCAGGGTGACAATATTGACCACTAACTAGTCTAAATGTTACCATTCTTTCTATGCAAGGCTAAATCTTCCACTACTTGTTTTTGGGGCTTAATTTTATTAGCAGGTAGATTAAGTAGTGTGGAATGACAAAATCTTGATTTTAGCTGTGTTGTCATAGTTTTAGCAATGTCTCCCCAGCCTCAGGCTGCTGACTTTGTTCTGGAAGTGATCATATATGTAATGCTGATAATGTAATATGAATTACAGTTCAGATTTCACTTACACTATGTTTTATGAGTGAATATATCTTGCTTCATACATGATATCAATTCCCAGCAATCTAAGGGTCAGATTAGGCATTTCTTCTACTTTGTCTAACAAGTTGGCAGTATTCTGCTATCTACAAATGGAAATGCGTCTCCAACTTTCTAATTTTCGTGCTGTTGGAATTCTGCTAGGCATAATTTGGTGAGCTATGGTGAGCATCCGAAGGCGCAAGCTGTTAGGACTTTGCTCTGGTATGGAAAGTTAGTGCATCTTGGTTTATTATAATCATTGAAGTCCAGTAGATGCATAGTTTCTATACTTTGTAAAATACAGTTGTCAAGTTTTCTATCTATTGTAAACTAGAATGCCCTGTTTTCACTTTTATCTGTTTATCTTTTTCACTTACTTAACAAGTTTAGCAATACTTTTGGATAACTTTTCTTGATACACAAATGATTATGAAGGACGAAGTGCCTTCTTGGTTCCACTGCCAAAGTTCTCTGGGAATGGGCACTTTGCCGAACATCGTTTCTTCAACAACAGACCCACTAGTGTACATCCAATGCCATCAACTGATATTGATGAGTCAAAAGAGGTATGAATAGTTTATTGATGTTGGTATTTCTACTCTATATTAGTTTAAAGTCGTTCTCATTATTCTTGCTGCATCCCTTCAGTTACTAATTTTAATGTATCTGTAAGAGAAGTGATAGCGTTATCTATATGCTTCACTATTGTGCTAATATGTTGTGTGAGCATGAATGTCTAAATTTGCCTGATTTTGTTTTCAAAAGTCTCCGAATAATCTTTGAAGACTAGATTCTACTTCTGAACTGACAAGCAAGTAAGAAGGATGTAATAGTTTGAACACTAAAAGCATTTAGCTTAAAATGAGATAGAAGCAATGCGGAGTCACATTTAACAATTTTAGGACAGGCTCTATAGTACCGGGGTGGCTTCTTCTATGGATCTTTTCGCCTGCAGTCAACTGTGTCTTGAATCAGCAAATAAAGTAGTTTTCAGCCAAATGGTTCTGGATGATCTAATTGAAGAAGCAGTATGTGATGCGACCTTCCTAAGCTATGATCCTAAGGGATATTGTCTCTGATCCATTTCCTTCTATTTTGGGTTATCATGAAAAGATTGATTGGTTTCAATAGCACCAAGTTAATGTGCTAGAATTAAACCTATTTGCGAGTTTATATAATATGTTTCCTACTAAACATAAGTATCTATTCCATACCTTCGTGCTTAAGCAAACTAGTTTGCATAATAAGGAAGCTCAGAAATTCTATGCTAAATGTGTTGATTCTTATCTTCAGAACTATGTAAAACATTTTCCAGAATACTGATCAAATTAGTGGACGTGGCTACCTCAGCATAGGTAGTTATTTGGTTTCTTGTAGAGGGAAGTCTAAGTGAAAATTTTACCGCATTTGGTAAGACATGACAACTGTTGTTATGCTGTTATGTCCTGTGCTGTATTGCGTGTGTTTCAGCTTGTTCCTCAGATCATTTCATGCAGAAAAGGAAGGGGTCCTCTAGGTTCTCCCGAAAGTGCTTACATTGAAAAACGCTTTTGTGTCTGATGGATGCAAATTCAATTCACTTGTTTTTCTGGGTAAATAATACTGGCTATGACACACAAAAGGGAAAAAGAAAATGTGTTCACTGGAGGAGGTTTATCACTAATGTCTCCAAGCAATGAGATTTTACTGAATAGCCGACTATGTTTGTTGCCCCTTTTACAGTTTATGGCCTTTCCTGCATTGTTTTGTCTGCTTGAACTGATAGCATTCTGACTAGTAAAAATAAAGTCAAGTGATATGATGAAGCCAAATCTTTAAATATCTTAGATTCTGTCCAGCTTTAATTGAATTTTGAATGATAGTTTTCTCTCTAAATATCTGCTTCAGCTACAGAAAGGAAAGAATAATTGATTACTAACATGTTATGGCACAACTATTACTATTATAGTGAGCAGATTAACGTGTATATTCCAGTCAGTAGGATTTTAATTCACAGAGGATCATATGGGATACTCTGCCCGACCCATTGAATTTCATGTTTTCTTTATGAACTCTTAAGTTCTGCTGGCATTCTTTATATTCTAATCTATTGTTTCAATGCTCTCCAGAAAATTGCTATAAAGGTTGTTCCTGGATCATCGAATAGTCATGCCTCTGGCTCCTTGATGGAGCAGACCGCTCAACAATTTCCAGGTTTTTGGTTATATACTAATGATGGTTTGATCACCTAGTTGCCTGTATTTCTATTTCATTATATTAGGGTAGATCCTGCCGATCTTTATGGTACATACAACGAAATTCAAATGTCTGTTTCGGTATCTTCTACATGACTGCACATAATTGTTCAGCCCCACTACTTGTTAAGCTGACTTTAAAATTTTGTTGCTTCTGAAACAAAGTTCTAATGTCATATCAACTGATGGGAACTATTGTGCTTTACAAAGTCTAGTGCTGCTAGTTCAATAAAAACAGGTCTAAAGGAGTAAGGAAAATGCTGGGGTAAATAAGAAAATAAAAAAGGCAGAAGATTAGAAAAGGGGGTGGAGGGGTTGAGGAAGCTCGAGTTATTCAGCTATGATGGATGAAAGGATAGAAGATGATGAAGAATAGAATTCAATAGGAAAGTTTACTTGAACATTCAATTGATGATTCAATCTTTAATGATACAATGCCTTATATATACATGAGAAAGAATCTTATTTTGCTAACTTCTTCTAACTAATTCAACAGTGTAACTAATTACTGATAAGGCAAAGCTAACTAACTTGACCAACTGATTCATTTATTGTGTAACAGACAGACTGATGAGGACAGAGAGTGGGATCCTATAAATGTGTTTATGAATAATTTTCTTCAAGTATATTTAAATGAAACATGATAATTAATTGAGCAGCGCCATGACGCAACTGTCTATTGCAGACAAAAACTCAAGAAACCTCAACAGCATGAAGCACATATATGGACGACGTCTTTTACTGCTTATGTGTGTGATTACTCTGCTTTTCTATGCTCGTAAATACAAAAAGAGGATCACCTTGAATAATTAATTAGCTTCCTCTATTCCTCAATAGTCATGGTATATAACTTCTTTCATCTAGGTTTTGAGAAGCCATATGTTGCTACTATATCTAGTTCACATTGTATAAGCAATTCTTCTGGCCTCAGAATATCAATATTTCATGTTTGTGGGATATGTCACTTGAAACTTAGCTGCTGATTGCTGTCATCAGCATATCTATCATCAAAAAGTTCCATCAAATGATGAATTGCTCCATTTTGTTCTTTACCTGAATCAACATTTGAATTGGCTGGGAGCTATTTGAATACTCCTACTTAAACCACCAGCTCTTGGCTTGACTGAAAGACACTCTAGTTCCATAAATCTTAGCGCAGGAATATTCACATCGAGCGCTAAGGAATCTCTTGTGTCTTTAGAAGTGCTGCTTGCATCCCATGAAATAACATTTGTGCATTTGCTGTTCCAGAAGTTAAACGCAGAAAGCGACACAGGAGAAAGCACTTTGAAAACCAAGAACCATGTCTCATGAGAGGTGTCTACTTTAAAAATATGAAATGGCAAGCTGCAATAAAAGTTGATAAAAAACAAATCCACTTGGGTACAGTTGGCACTCAAGAAGAAGCTGCTAGACTATATGACAGGTATCATACTGCCTGCAAATTTATTTCTCTTCACCTTGTTAAATTCTGCATCCTCTTCAGTGTGATGCTAAAAATTTCAAATGTTCGACAGGCTCATACCTTACTGGTATCTGATAAGATGGGGTTTCCTAGGGTTCATCTACCAATTTTCAGAAATTTACAGCAACAAGATCCTTGTGCAGTTCTATTGCTATTAGATGATTCTTCTATGGAAGCCTTAATATGGATGGATTTTTTCTTTTTTCCCTTGAATTTGTAGGGCTGCTTTTATGTGTGGGAGGGAACCAAATTTTGAGCTTTCCGAGGAAGAGAAGCAGGAACTAAGACAATTCAAATGGGACGACTTTTTGGCATTTACACGCTCTGCGATTACTAATAAGAGTAAGTCCCAATACTGTTGCCACTTCTAGTCATTGTAGCATTTCTTGGTGGCTACAGTGCTAATGAGATGAAATATTTTTGCAGAAACTCGAAGAAGAAGTGGGGCTGGTGCACGGAGGAAATCCGAGCCTTTAACTTCAGCACTGAACAGTGAGGAGGATGAGGAAGAGGAGGGAGGGGAGCCGGAAAGCAACAGTTTTTCAGCGTCTGAAGATATAGATCACGACATATTGTTCTCTTGATCCCCTCTTCTCCCCTCCATTTTGTGCATGCCGAAAAAAATAGTTCTACTGATTCTGTTAAGCTGTTCAGCCACGTATTTACAACTCGATGGTATTCGTATAGTTTACACAAATATAGATGCCCCTATTAGGGTGGATGATGATACATTATCTTTCTATTGGCAAAGTTAATTGAATTTGATAACAAGTATGTTATTGTGCATGCCTCAAGACCTATTGTCATGCTTGATGACCTTTGACATATGAAAGTGACTTTGATCAGCATCCCTTACCTATATGATTAAATGGAATATGAGAAGGAGATAAAGGAATTTTTGGTCATACAAGTGTATATGATTAGAGGATTTAGTAGGTTGTGAGCAGGGGCGAATTTATGTACTAATTTTGGGTCACCCGAACCCGTGGTCATCCGACTAAACTCGATATATTACTTCTATAATTATTAAAGAATATATTAAATTAAAACTTGTTGAACCCGTTCTCAAAATGGCTGGATGGTTCACTGGTACCACTGCAAGATTTCAACTCACAGGTCGCAGGTTCGATCCCAGGCAGCCCCAATTTGCTTCAATTTATTTTTATTAACTAAAAACACATTTTTCATTAAAAAAAAAAAAGAAGCTAAATTCTGAAAGTTTAAAAGTCAAAAGACTTCAAAAGTTTCCTTCCCACACACTTTTCAAGTTCCAAGTTCCAACAATATTTTTCTTCTCTCTTCAAATTTGTTTTCTATTTTCCACACAAAGAAGAAGCTTCAAGTCTCCAACTTCAAGTCAAGAATTTAGAGAAATCATCATTGTCAAAGTTTAAGGTAATTTTAGTTTATGATTTCTCTTTTTAATAAACAAACTAACAAGATAAATAAATAAATATATATATATATATATATATATATATGTATATATGT